TATATATATATATATATATATATATATATATGAGCTTAATCAAATGAGAATGTTTTGTTTGTGGAAACCGTGGGATCCAATCTCAACCAATCATTTTGATATATTAATTATTCTTTCTAAGTTAATGTAAAAGGGCATGTTAGTAAATTACTAAATTTAGACTAAATATTTATTTATTAATTCTATACGTTTCAAACTTCCAATTAATTTTGATTTTACATTCCTAAATTACCACATGAAACTACAATTTTTTTTACCACAATGTAACACAACATCTAGTGATACCTAATACATTGTTGGTATTATGGCACCTTGTCCCGCATCAGTAACTATTGGAATTTGTAGCCCCTTATGACTTATGAGTTCTTGGTTGTAAGCTATCAAAGAATTCTCACCATGGGTTTAGTGATTTGGAGGTTGTCTTGTATGGTTTGCTAACAAAGAATTCTCAACATGGGTTTAGTGGTTTGCGTAGCACATGAAACCACAATCTTTTTTACCACAATGTAACATAACATGTTAAACCAAAGCCTACAAATTGTTTTTCACCTCTTTTCGCACAACCAACATGATCTTTTGTGTTTTTTTGTTTTGTTTTGTTTTGATGAAATGTAATTTTAGAAGATCAACGGTTTATAGGGCGCTCAAAATAGTCCCATTAAATTAATTTTTTTGACCCTTTTGCCTTTATTTACATAATCACATTAAATATTGGAGAGTTATTTTTGGAATTTCAGTAATTATTTTTTTTTTATTTTCAACCATTGATTATTAATTTGTATGGTTGAGGTTGGATCTCACGGTTACCACAAACAACTCAGTTCTTTCTTGAATGGGCCCCTATATATATATATATATACAGAGAGAGAGAGAGAGAGAGAGAGAGAGAAAGAGAGGTGAGTTATTATACAACCCTTTACATTTGTACAACCCAATCTCAACCGTTCATTTAATTTGATGAATATGTAATTTCATAGAAGTTTCAATTGTTTCCTAATATAAAGTATTGATCATAATTAATAAACCTTATTTATCTTCCATAAATATTTAAATCATAATAAACAAACTCTCATCATTTCCATAAATATTTTAATTTTATGGGTTGTACTGTTTGTACAAATGTTATGAGTTGCATTTGAAACAAACTATATATATATATATATATATATAGAGAGAGAGAGAGAGAGAGAGAAAGAGAGAGAGAGAGAGAGAGAGAGAGAGAGAGAGAGAGGTGGGTTGTTATACAACTTCTTACATTTGTACAACCAATATAACTCAATCTTAACCGTCCATTTAATTTGATGAATATGTAATTTCATATAAGTTTTGATTGTTTCCTAATATAAAGTATTAATCATAATTCATGAATTTTAATCATCTTTCATAAATATTTAAATCATAATAAATGAACTCTCATCATTTCCATAAATATTTCAGTTTATTGGGTTGTACAAATGTGATGAATTGCACATGTCCTGTCACGTCGGCCATGGAATTTTTTTTTCAATGTTCGATAGTCAATGAACCGGTTGTCCACCACGACGTCGGGGGTTAAATGCGTTACATAAAGCATGCCATGATATGACATTCTTCAGGTAATATGTATTTTACGGTAGCAAATATTATGTACGGTTCATATTCTTCACTAAATGCATGCTTTGTGAATGTACTTAGTTACTGAGCTCACGATCTTGAGTTCAGTTGTGCTAGGCTTCGCAGTTATCATGTTTCATGGATTGGTCTGGGACATACAAAGTACAAGAACATTAAACGATTCATGGGATGTGCTTGTGTAACTGGTATGGGTGTTCATCTCCTTCCGTATGTGTATGAGCGTCTTTATATTCAATAGTGTCTAGTTTGTGGTATGTAATCTGATTTGATCGCATGTTATGACATTTTGTCTATTTCGTTTTTTGATACGATAACATTTTATTTATGAATTTGGGGGTAAGAATGGGTTGGACGCAGATAGTCACGCTATTCAGGTGCGTTCCAACTTTTTCTGTATCAAAATACAATTATTGTTAAATTCTGTGTACATGTGGCATATTAGTAGGGGCTTATATGTTTAACTGTAGATACTTTCATCTCGAAAAGTTAATGAAAGTGTATATGTTCATGTCAACGATTCGGTCTTCGTCCCACCGGGACAGAAAGGTAATACACGGTGTCACATACACGGAGGAATCATAATTTGATATTTAAAAAAACACATCCTGAAAGGCACATAACATATTGTTGATCCTCTCTCTCAGTGATTTGATGATAATCCTTTTTTCCTTTCAATGTATTTCTGTATCTGTAATTTCAGTTCCAGCGATCATACACTGAGCTTGTTCAGTGATCGCTGAAGAACTTGTTTTGAAATT